CCGCAGGTGCACGCCGCACGCGCCCCCAGCAGCCGACCGTGGCGGCGCCGGCCCTCGCGCAGACCGCACGCCCTCCGCAGCCGCGCGCACCTGGGCCCTAGAGCCGCTTTCCGAAACAGGCACGCGTTATACGGTGTACACACTGCCCCCAAACACACACGCCGACACACTCACATCCACGAACTCAGCCTTTTCCTCTTTTCTTAAGGCCCAGTTTTCGGAGTCAAAAAGCCAGTTCTCCGCGTCGGCTCTGCCCGGCGTCGGCTCTGCCCTCTCTCCCTGCTCCCGGGTGCGGGAAGAAACCGCGACTCTGGCGGAAGGAGCAGACTAGCGACTGGGGCAGTGGGGAGAAGGAGGAAAAGAGGGAGCGCCCCCCCACCACACCCCGGGCTTCAAGCCGGTCCAGCACCGCTAGGCGACTGCGCCCCCAAAAGAGCCCGCAGGCGCCCCTGGACTTGAGCGCGTTCGCGAGTCTAGCCAGGCAGGCCAGGGCGTGCGAGGCAGGAGGCAAAGCCAGGCTCCCGGTATCCCCGCAGCCAAGGCTCACGGTTCCCGTGGGCCAGAAAAGAGCTCGAGAGATCTCTGTCTGCGCCCTCGGGGTCATTTTTATGTGGCAGGACACAGCTGGAACTCCCGAGCAAATGGAACTCCGGGTACCACCTGCAAAGAATCCCGACCAACCCGCAACCCTGGAGCGCCGGGTGCCCCAAGCAGGGTCACTAACAGTCGCCTCCTTGCCTGGGACGGCTGCACAGCGCCTAGAACGTGGGGACCGGGAGCCAGACAGGAGGACTCCCAGCATTCGGGGCCACCCCAGGAGCCACAGCTCTCCAGGAAGGGGTTCATCTACATAAAAGGAAAGTCTCTGTGCGCCCACTTTTGGGTTCACTTTTAGATGCAACAAGGAACACGAAGGCAGCCCTTACTGAGTCCTTCCTCCCTAAGCCCTGCAAGTACTAGGGGAGGCTTCTCTCCCTCTCCTGGATTCCAACCCTGGAGAGGGGCTACCCAGTGGGAAGACGAAGTTGGGAGCCGCTATCTGCCTGAGGCCCTCCTCACCACACCGCCTCTTGCCTGGCCACCGCATGGTCTCTGAGGTCAGGTGCAGCTGGCAGCCTGGTAACTGAGCAGCACCACACCCGGCTCTGGACCTGCGGTGTGAGCGGAGTAGGAGGGATGGCGGGAAGGCCCTCTTAGCCTTAGCCAAAGTTATCAGTGGCCCTTGAAACAGGCAGGGCGCAGAGGAGTCCCAGGTGGTGTTTGGCCTCTTGAGAGGACCCAAGCTTTTAAATTGAGACTGAGCACTTGAAAGCCGGCACTGTCTCCAAAGACCTGTCTATGTCCTCCGCCTTAGGGCATTTCTAAGCGCTGGGACAGATAGCGTGGGGCTCAATGCACAGGCTCCTGCCTGGGGCCCAGCAGGCAAGGCGGTCGTTCCCACAAAGACTGGGACTGGAATCCCTACACTTTCACAAAAGTGAGTGCTCCAGGGACGAGAGAGATTTACCCATCTTAACACAGCTGGCATACCTGTTTGGGAGAATTGGTTATCTTCTTGGGTTACCCCAGTGGTGCCGGCAACTCTAGTTCTGAGCACCAGAATTATTTGACCTGGTCTTCTTCATCGCTAGTGTCTTCGCATTGTACGGAGCTTAGTAAGACACAGCAATGGCCCCGGAAATCCAGGCAGTGGATGAATGAACAGTTCCAGAGGTTCTTTACCCACGCATCGGACAGCGAATCACAGCCAGGTCTGTGACGACGTAGATCCGTTAGATGAAAGAGCAGGTGGTTGATCCAAAGACGCGTCTCTTTTTATTTAATTAAAGGAAGCAGTGTCCTGGGGAAAACTTTCTGGAATTTGAGGAGAGAATAAGTATTGTGGGCTTAACTTTAACAGTCCACCCAGTCACCATACACAAAGTAAGGCAGTTTTCTTCAGCCCATTCATGTATCATATTAGTAAGTGGATGGGGGGAAGTTTATCAAATAATTTGCTTTTTAAATCCAGAGAATTGCATCTTGGTTTCTCTAGAATTGCTGTGAGCTTCAAGGCAACTCCAATCAACCGAATTAGCATAAGAGTGTACAGAGAATAGTTTCCTAGGAATATCTTTGGCTTTCGAATCATCTCTTCAATATCTTGATGTTCACTTTAAACACTTTGTATCATTACTTTTAAATTTCAAAAACGGTAGTGTGAAAATGTTAGTGAGAAAGAGCTTCCATGTATTATACTAAAGCTCTTGAGGGTTACTTTTATTTATTTAAACTTATTCTGTTTTCTTTACAAATTTCCTAGAAGAAACCTTCTCAAGGAGAAAGTTTCATTTATTCAACCGCTGTTTATTGAGGAATTACTTACTATGTGCCAGACTTTGTTCTAGGTGCTAGGAATTCTCAGTGAGCAAAACAAAAACTCCTACCTTCCTGGTGCTTATGTCACAGTGACTTATTTAGAAACCACATCATTGGTTTGGCAAATAGAAATTTAGGCTTTAAATTAATCATTATCAATGTATCTCTAGCTGAGCCTCATAGTGCACTTTGATTGTATCTCCTTGCACGCTTGTTCTGCATTAGTAATTCCCTCTCTTTCTGTTCCTTTTTCTTTCTGCCCGTTAGTTGTTTATTCCTTGTCCTGGGTCCTATCTGGTCCTCATGCCTGGCTTACTCCCTTACTCGGTGCAGTATTTTTACCATTATATGACTGACACTTCTTCTGGAAGAAATTTTATATTGGAAATCATTTTCATTCAGAATTTTTCTTCTATCTCCATTTGGAGAGTTGAAAAAACAATTGTCACTGTTTTTTGCTTTCTGTTCTCTCTCTCTCTCTCTCTCTCTCTCTCTCTCTCTCTTTGTATCTTTTGGGGGGTTGTTACTGTTGCTGTCATTGTGTTATAGGCTCTCTCTTCTCACTAGTGTCCTAAAATTTCATGAGCTCCTTGGTGTGGTCTGTTTCTCTTTATTCTTCTGAACACTGAGGAAATACTTGCAAACTGAAATTTCGTGTCCTTCGCTTCGGAGAAATTTTCTTCCTTGTTTCTTTTATAATTTCTCCTCTTTCTGGGTGGGAGGGGTCCAACTCTCTGGGATACAGTTTTCTCAACTTACATTGTTGTTAAAATTTTTATCATATTTTTAATTTCCGAAAGGTTGTTTTTATTCTGTGGTGAACATTATTTTTTATGGCCTCTTGCTTTTATTTAATAGGCATGACATCTTCTCCTACCTCTCTGAGGCTTTTAAATGTAAGTTATTTGCTTTACGCCTTGCATATTGGAGGCTATCTTTAAACTTCTAGCTCTCTTTGATTGCTGACTTACATTGAAGTGCAAATCAGAAGAGAAGGGTAGAAATATGGAGTGGTCAGATGAAAAGCACCTCATAATTTTACTGAGGAGAACCCTAGACTATTGGTAGCTATAAATCTTTTTCTTCTGGATTCACGTTTGCCCTCAGAGGAGCCCTCCAGTCTCCTGTGTGAGGCAGGAGGATGGAAGCTGGGATGGAGTAAAAGCTCGTGGGGAAGAAAGGAAGCTGAGAGTCTTCCCTTCCACTGTGGTCCTCCTCTGGTCTTTTCTGGAACCCAGAATTGATAGTCCCTAACTGCATAGGATTTAGAAGGAAATCGTAGGTCTAAGCACCCCTTTTAAAGGTTTGCAGCCATTTCTATTTTCACTTCCTCCTGTAACTCTACCAACCAAGGCAACCAATTGTTCAAAGTCTTAGAGCTTTTCTAAGGTCCTCACACTTAATGTTTTCCTCTACCCTTGTAGAGTTTATATAAGCAACACGCATCTTTATATTGCCTTCCCTCTGCTGGACAAATGAGGTAGTCTCACCTACAGGTGAGAGATACAGTCTCCACAAAGCACTCCAATTAGACTCTCCACCGAGCAAGCGAGCAAGCTTGAATTAGACTCTCCACCGAGCAAGCGAGCAAGCGCTCTGCCTTGGCTGAAGGCCACTCCCCTTCACAGGCCTCCTTCCTGGAGGCTGCTCTCCCCCAGCCCCAGAAAAACAGAGATTCTGACCCGACAGCTAACCTGTAGAAGTTCCTTGTAGAGAGTATTTTTAGAGCTGTGTGTCCCTGCCAGAGAATGAGCAAAGCGTGGTGGCCCAGGCCCAAGCTGGTCACTCTGAGAGGTGGACGGACTCTGAGTGACGTCAAGGAATTACTCAGGTTGGGTTCCTCTGAGATAATTAAAATTCTCTCTTGGCTCAGACTCACAGGACTCAAATTGATTCTCTCTTGCCCTGTCTGAGAGCCTTACTCCACATTGCAAATAGAAATACAGGTCCCTAAAACTTCCTTGTAACACTAATTAGAATACAATCTCCTTTATTTGCTCATCTCAGATAATGTGAGTTTTTGCTAAGGTAAATTCCTAGGCAGCTGAGACATCTTTTACATGGAAAACACACCTTAAAAGCCATGTTGGATGGAAAGCCACTTCAAATGCATGGCACGCTCCTCTTAACCTTCCCTGGGTGACTCACAGCCATCATCAAAACAGCATCAGTCCCAGTGCGGTATCTTGAGGAAGGGCCTGAGTTAGCAGGCTTTGCCTCCACACCCGCCAACCCCCAGCGGCCATGCTTTGAGCTCCTAGTCCACCATGTTCAGTTGTTCATTTCCTCTTTCGGAATTGGGACCTCAGGATCATGTTTTGGGCTTTGAGTTTTCATCTGGTCATTGTGAATACAAGGGGACTTCAAAGAGTGCATGGAAGAAGGAGATTACAGTACAAATTTATTTTGGTACTGAAAAAAAACTAAGCATCTTTTTCCATAATAGGGATTTTTAATGAACTGTTAGAAGACCCTCCTCTTATCATCACCTCTAGCCCCAGCTCCAGTCTACATGAATTTTCACCTTCTAATTCAATGTTATCAAAAAAATAATGAAAGTATGTTCAATGGAACAGGCTGGAGAAATAAGAAAGAAGGAAGGAAGGATCTGAGTGTCTCTCCCATGAGTAATCCTCAAGAGCTCTTAAGTGTTGACTTATATTTTATTTATTTTTTAGAGTGCATGCGCTTGCTGGACAGACAAAGACACAGAAAGCGAGAAATCACGCCCCAGGGGAATGGCCATGCCACGATCCCTTCTCGTTTATTCTCTTCTCAGGATCTTGGGCACCCACGCACACGCACCCAGCATGTGTTTTAAGCCACCAAGTCTGGAACTCAGTGGTCAACTATGTGGGAGTCCAACAACGTAACCATTACACCATTTGCTGGTCCCAAGCATAGACTCAGGACATTTACTTCAGCCACTCAAAGGCCATTTTCATATCTTTCCTAGCTCTCAACTACGGCCTATATGGAGGAGGCTTCTAAATAGGTAAACATTTCTTTGGTGTTAAGAAAGCTAGAGAAAGACCATAGGTATGAAAGAGGCGTCTTGTGGGGCAGTAGATGGCGTGGAAGTTAAAGTGAGTGGATTCCACAAGGCCAACTTTGCAGTTGGAATTCCAAACCTAGCAGCCTGAAAATTACACTGGGCACATGTGTGTGTGTGTGTACCTTAAGTCCTAAAAGGAGAATGGAGGAGAAGGACTTGCCAGGTGGCCATCCCCCCAGGGGGTGATTTCTCACTTTCTCTTTTGTTCTCTCTCCCTAACAAGCATACACAGCCTATACAGCAAACTAAAATAAACAAATGAGAGTCTTGTGTAACAGTGCTGTTCATCAGAACTTTCTGCAATAATGGAAGTGTTCTAGAACCATATGACACAATAGTCAAAAGCTAATGTGACCCTTGAGCACCTGAAATAGGACTGGTGTGACTGAAGAAATGGATTTTGAAGTTTAGCTAGTTCTAATTAACGTAGAGGTAAAGAGCTACATTGGCTATTGGTTACTCTAGTGGGCTGCACAGGTCGACAGCATAGTTCTTGACAAATGAACAAATCGTGGAGCCACACTGACTGTTGTCAGGCTCCCACATTTATTAGCTGTGTGATCACAGGCGAATCAATTCAACTTTCCGTGCTTCTAGATCCTTCTTCATAAAACAGACATAATAACATGACTTATTTCATAGATCTGTTGTGAGGATTAAATATGGTAACACATAAAAAGGTCTTAGAACAGTCTATGGCAAATAGTAAGTGCTATATGATGTTAGCCATTATTTGGCCCAGTTGTGGTCGCACAGGTGCTAGGGCACTGCTGTTTGTGACTGGAACCCTATGGATTCCATGTTTGAATCCCAAGTTGACCTTAACACACTGAGTGCCCAGAATCCTGGCTGTCTGGAAGACTGGAGCAAGATCCTATAAGGTGCTCCATCTCTTTCTCCTTCTCCTTCTCTTTCTCTTTCTCTTTCTCTTTCTCTTTCTCTTTCTCTTTCTCTTTCTCTTTCTCTTTCTCTTTCTCTTTCTCTTTCTCTTTCTCTTTCTCTTTCTCTTTCTCTTTCTCTTTCTCTTTCTCTTTCTCTTTCTCTTTCTCTTTCTCTTTCTCTTTCTCTTTCTCTTTCTCTTTCTCTTTCTCTTTCTCTTTCTCTTTCTCTTTCTCTTTCTCTTTCTCTTTCTCTTTCTCTTTCTCTTTCTCTTTCTCTTTCT